ATGCCCCAAAATGAAAGGACACAATAAATATTCCACCTCCATCTCCTATAGATATTTCAAAACAAATTACTATAGCTCCTATAGATATTTCAGAAGAAATTACTATAGCTCTGTTAGAAGATATAGGAGGTTGTAGTCAGAGAATTTTTTATTATGCAAATGATCATCTTTATCCCGTACTATTATGGTAAAAAAAAAAAAAATTAATATTCAAAATAGTCGTCCCACTATTAGCTAATACTCGATTTTGTTCCGAAAAATTAAACCTACTCAATTTAGTATATATTGGGTACCGTTTGGAAACTATAAGGACTAAAATTGAGTACGTTTAATTATTCGGGACAAAATTGAATATTAGCTAATAATTGGAGGACTATTTTGGGTATTAACTCAAAGAAAAAAAAAAATGCATTGTATAAAACGAGGGAAATGTAAACTTGTAAATCAAGAATGTTAGAAACTTATTAGGACCAAATATTTTATTGTATGTTCTAGCTAGCTATTGCTAGTAATAAGGTAAAATTTGTTTAATTCTGTACAATTTTTTTTTTTATTTATGAAATATTGGTTCCTATTAGAAAACACGCATCGTTTTCATTCTTATAGCTGGAATTATACCATGGATGGAGCTACTTCATTATATAATTATGTTTAACTTAATTCCCCATAATTTGCTGTCGAACATTGATCACACTCTTCCTTCTCCAAATACTATCTAGTATCTACTGAACCAGAAGTGAGCTAAACCCGTGCTGGCATCTCTCCCTTTGGCTTTTACTAAATCATCAACATGTCATCATTATATTTTATGAAATATAACTAATAGAATAGAACTTAATTTGCATTTTAAAAAGTTCGATACAAATAGAAATAAAAAATTAATGGGAAAAATGACCATTTTTCCTTTGAGTTGGAGTTGATTTGAATACCAAGATTTGCATTTCTGTATGGACTCTTAATAAGGGGATGAAAAATGAATCATCCTAAATGGGATGAAGGATGTGAAATTACCATTAGGGTTATATTTCTAACCGTCAACTAATAGAATTTTTAACAAAGAACGAAATTATGTAAAACCATCAAAGTTAAAGACTAAATTGAACACAAAAAATCATTTAAGGCTAAATTGAGTAAAATAATTATAATTGAGAACTATATTGAGTATTATACCAAGACTATGTGGTCTAATAGTACCTGGGTTGGACTTCCATTTGAAAGGTTGTGAGTTCGAGCCTCAGTGGAGGCGTTATTGATTCTATGTGATTCAGTAGGTTGAGAAAGTATATGAACAGATATTACGTTGTAATAACATTCAAAAAAAGATATTACGTTGTAATAGAGCCAGTAGCACTCAAAAAAAAAAAAAAAAAATTGATCACGATACAAAATAACTATCGGTAAAAAACGTACCAGGCAATTAATGATGGAAAATTTGATCACGATACAAAATAACTATCGGTAAAAAACGTACCAGGCAATTAATGATGGTTTGGTGAATTGTCTAATAACTTCAGTTATGTTATTTATTAATATTAGGACTTTTTCAGTTCATTGTATGTATTTTTATTTTTTATTTTTTGCATTATATACACACACTCACACATAAACACAAATGCATACGTTTAAGAGAACACACTAAAGAGAAAATAGAAGTAATTAACAATAAAAAGATAAGTTATAATAAGATTATTTATGTCTTGTTTGTACTTACAATTGCTTTTCCATATTTAATTTCTGCATGAACTACACCTTCAAAACCTATAGATATTTCAAAAGAAATTGCTAAAGCTATGATAAAAAAAAATTTGGAAATTGTATTTGGATAGATTTTTATTATGCAGACATAGGTTTAACACCATTATGGTAAAAAATGGGTTGCGTAGCAGCAGCAAGATGTGAATTTCTTAATCAAGGATGTGAACGATTCACGCATTCGCTAAAATTTGTTCAATTCTATACGATACACAAATATAGTATATATGATACATTTTTATGAAATATTGTTTCTTATTACTAAACACACATCGTTTTCTTCTAATAATTAAGGTTAGTATATGTTCAATACTTTTAAACATTTTTAGCTGCTAAAGACCTTGTGGTCAAGGATGGAGCCAGGATTTGTTGGCGCGGGGCCAATTACAATTAAACTAACTAAAAAGAAAAAAAAAGAATAATTAGACAGAGATTAAAGTAGTAAAAATTTGAAGATTGGTAGCAAAATAATATTTTATTATTATTATAATAAGTATAATTGCAATGTATTTCATTTATACAAATTTAAAAGCTAACTAGATAGCAATCTATTGTCCAGTGTCCACAGAACATAAACTCAGTTTGCAATTCTTTACAAATTGGCAAGTCAGTTAAAGTATGTACACTTTAACCTTCAAATATGGCAAGTAATCTTTATACAAATCATAAGAATGAATAGAAAATAGTATATGCCAAATTAGTACTGTTAAAATAATATGAAATTCAAATGGCTAATTGGAGCCTGAGAGTCTGAAACTGACGCAAATTATGCCATGGAATCGTGTTCACCGAGGATGGTGAACACAAGGCAAAACGACGTTGTTTTTAGGCCAAAAAAAAAAAATCGCGGATGTGGAGTTAACGGCGCGCGTTTGATCAAATTATGAATTTTCTGTTATGAGATTATGAATTTTATGAAAGTTCATAATCTCATAACAGAAAATTCATAATCGCATAACAGAAAATTCATAATCTCACAACTGAAAATTCATAATCTCATAACAGAAAATTCATAATCTTATAACAGAAAATTCATAATCTCATGGTTTCAAAGTGAATGTGTAGGCATGGTTCCAAAGTGAATGTGCAGGCATGGATTCATAATTTATGAATGTCCGGGATTTCGGACGGGAATATGTAGGCATGGTTCCAAAGTGAATGTGCAGGCATGAATTCATAATTTATGAATGTCCGAAATTATGAATGTAATGAAAATTCATAATCTCATAACAGAAAATTCATAATCGCATAACAGAAAATTCATAATCTCATAACAGAAAATTCATAATCTCATGGTTCCAAAGTGAATGTGTAGGCATGGTTCCAAAGTGAATGTGCAGCCATGGATACATAATTTATGAATGTCCGTGATTTCAGACGGGAATGTGTAGGCATGGTTCCAAAGTGAATGTGCAAGCATGAATTCATAATTTATGAATGTCCGAAATCTTTGTTCACCTCAAATTAAAGTGAAACCGCAAAATGTGAAAATAAAGAAAAAAAAGTCACGCAATTAATTTAAAAAAAAAAAAAAAAAAAAAAAAAAAAAAAAAAAAAAAAAAAAAAGATAACGGTGTACTGACACCGTTAGAACCGTGTTCACCATGAATGGTGAACACGGTTCCATGGCATAACGTCTGCTGAAACAGATTAAACTCATTTTTGAAATCAAAGGATAGAGGAAAAAAAATAACTCCAAGCTATGAAAGCAGTAGCTCAAAACACAAGTCTATAAAATTTAATTAAAAAATTTACTCAAAACACCATCGACCACATGAGTTTTCGCACTAACAGAAAACTAACTCGGAGTTTGGAAGCTTGTTTGGGGCAAATCATGCTGTGCGCATGTACCCACCTTGCAAGGTGGGCACGGTTCCATATCCATAATTTCTACATTGTAGATTCATAATTTCTATATTGTAGATCCATAATTTCTATACTGTATAGTAGATTCGTAAAATTTATACTTTACATTTCAATTGTTGAACTCGGTTTTCACAAATCAGAGAACTATATGTTCATAATTTGATAACTATACAATTTAGAAATTATGATTTTACAATACAGAAATTATGAATCTACAGTACAGATATTATGAATCTGTAATATAGAAATTATGAATCTACTGTATAGAAATTATGAATCTATTGTATTTAAATTATGAATTTACGGTTTAGAAATTATGAATCTAATAATAAAGTATAAATTTTATGAATCTACAGTATAGAAATTATGGATCTATAGTATAGAAATTATGATTCTACAGTACAAAAATTATGAATATGGAAAGGTGGGCACATGCTCACATCATAAGATTTCTTTGTTTGGAGGGGGAAAATACTTTGATATTTTGGTGAGATTTTGAAAGTTTAAACTTTTGTTTGGAGGGGAGATGCTTTGGTGAGGGGGGCCAAACCAAAAAAAAAAAAAAAAAAAAAAAGGAAAAAAAAAAAAGCAATATACTAGTAGTAAATTTTTTTTTTTTTTGGGGTGAGGGAGGGCCAAGACCCCTGCAATGACTAAATACATCCGGCCCTACTTGTAGTCCAATGACACTAAGTTAAACTTTCATAAGAGAGATTGTGAGTTTGAGCCTCAGTGGAGACACATTACATTATAATAGAGTTAATAGTATAGTATTTAAAAAAAAAAAAATAGCCTGAAGCACATTATTTTTTTTCTTATAGCTGGAAGGGAAAAGTGTCGAATAGACCCATCTATTTCTTCGTAGTGCTCAATTCACCCCTTCATCTAAAATAAAGTCCCCTTCATCTAAAATAAAGTCTAATTAAACATATTAACTTTCTAAAATTGTTCAATTAAGCTTTTTGACAGGTTACCATCTGGTTGCCAATGAACCTGATTGACGTGGGAAATAAATATAATGACATGGAAATAAATTGAACAATCCACCTGTTATTACAAACGACGAACAAGTCTCTGATTGTCATCTAAGATCTAGACCTTTATTCGATCGAGAAATCAACGGATCCGATCTTGCCAGAGATTCTCAACTTCATGGCGTCATCCTCACCCGCGTGGAAGATGGAGGAAACAACATCAAAAAGGTCCTAAGGGAGGGGGAGGTTGCGAGAAAGGAAATTGAGGGCGCAAATCAACATAAGAATATCTGTTTGCTATGTTTTTAGTTCAAAAAAAAGTAGATTATATATACTGTCTACTTATCTGATCTAAGCAATGAAATCACAGTTTCATTATCCCTATCTTCAACCATAAATCCAACTACTATGTACTCTTCAATCAAGCTTAAACACAACTTGCCATCTTCAATCAGCCCTCAGCCTAAAACACTTATCATGGCTTCACCTCCAGCCTCAACTAAAGTAGTTCACAATTTCTTCCCCAGATTTCACGTCTACGAGGACGGCCACATCGAGAGGTTTCACAACTATGTTTCTGTCCCTCCGACCGACAACCCAGAAACCGGCGTTCAATCCAAAGATGTCGTCATTATAACAGAAAATAACGTCTGGGTCCGAATTTACCTTCCCAATGTCACCGACGGTGCTCAGAAATTCCCCGTTCTAGTCTACATCCACGGCGGCGCCTTCACCCTCGTGTTCGCCTCCTCCGCTTCCTACGAGAGGTTTCTCCACTCTGTGACAGCCAAAGCCAACGTCGTAACCATTTCAGTCGAGTACAGTTGAGTCTTCACCTCCTCCGCCGGCGTCAGTGGCTGAAACGTCGTCCTCGTCTTCTACCTCCACCACCTGAAAATAATCGCCCGCCTTCCCGTATCCCAGTCTAAGACTCGATGAATGCCGTCACCGGCGTCGTTCCCATTAGCGAAGCTCCGCGACTCCGCCAACTAGTTAGGGATTTGAGATTAGGTGGATTTTGATTTGTATTTGGGAAAATATTGAAGATTTAGCTTCAGGAGATTTTGGAATATCCACGTATTATGAAATTACAATATATTAAATTAATTTACCATGCCACATCATCTTGACTGGCTCCCAAGTCATCACAACAGGAGTACACTACAAGAAAAATGCACATAGACAACGGTTAATAACCGTTGTCGTAGGGGTAAAACTTCTGTTATTGAAGCTGGTGTTGTTGTAGGTCACGCGCATAGACGACGGTTTTTAACCGTTGTCTTTTCTAGAAACGACAACGGTTTTCCAACCGTTGTCTATTAAGTGTTGTTGAAACCAGTGTTGTTAAAAGTCACGCACATAGACAACGGTTTTAAACCGTTGTCTTTTCTAGAAACGACAACGGTTTTCTAACCGTTGTCTATTAAGTGTTGTTGAAACCGGTGTTGTTAAAAGTCACGCACATAGACAACGGTTAAAAACCGTTGTCTTTTCTTGAAACGACAACGGTTTTCGAACCGTTGTCTATTAAGTGTTGTTGAAATCGGTGTTGTTAAAAGTCACGCACATAGACAACGGTTAAAAATCGTTGTCTTTTCTTGAAACGACAACAGTTTTCGAACCATTGTCTATTAAGTGTTGTTGAAACCGGTGTTGTTAAAAGTCATACACATAGACAACGGTTTTTAACCGTTGTCTTTTCTTGAAACGACAACGGTTTTCAAACCGTTGTCTATTAAGTGTTGTTGAAACCGGTGTTGTTAAAAGTCACACACATAGACAACGGTTTTTAACCGTTGTCTTTTCTATAAACGACAACGGTTTTGTAACCGTTGTGTATTAAGTGTTGTTGAAACCGGTGTTGTTAAAAGTCACACACATAGACAACGGTTATAAACCGTTGTCTTTTCTATCAATGACAACGGTTTTTGACCCGTTGTATATTCAATGTTGTTGAAACCGGTGTTGTTAAAAGTGATGCACATAGACAACGGTTTTTTAACTGTTGTCTTTTCTTTAAAAGACAATAGTTATAAACTGTTGTCTATTGTGTGTTGTTGAAATCGCTGTTGTTAAAAGTCATGCCGATAAACTGTTGTCTTTTTGTAGAAAAGAAAACAGTTTCAAATTGTTGTATATTGTAAAATAGACAACGATTTTTAACCGTTGTCTCAACGGTTTTTAACCTGCTTAAATTTTAATCATATACCAAAAAACAATTTATCCATTCACCATGGCCAAGTGTAGTTACATAATTTTGCACAAGCTAAGGTTCAAAATAACAAGTGTAAATACTTCCATGACCAATTCTCATCGAATCAAATATCATCCAAGTCATAATAATACAAAAAACAATTCGACGAAGTCATCATAATACTACAACAAACAATTCCACGAAGTCTAAAAGATCACAACGTTCTAATGATCAAAGCATACCTACTGTATATAACTTGATATAATATCGGCCCATTCAGAACGCACCAGATCAATAACCGCTTTGTCATATTTAACTTGTTGGAACTACATGTAAAAAGTGAGTAAATAAATTAGTAATTGCAATGAAATTCGAAATAAGTTAGGAGTAATTTTCAAGAACCACTATATGGTAATAGAGTTTTAGCAGTTCTAAAGGCAAGAGCTTTTGTATTTTCTCTAATCTCTCCACTTTAAACTTTGTGAATAAAATGATCAAATTAAAAACTAAAAAGCATTCATTCAATAGACATCAACAATAAATGGAGTACTCAAAATTATACTGGCAACAAGAATCTCAAATGCATCATATTTCCACTTTGAAACATTGAAATCAAAATAATTTTAAACACGAATTAGAAATTTAATTATTACCAGTGCTTAAACAGAATCTTTATCATCAATGTCCGGCATGTTCTCAATTAAAGTCTTCAGGTAAGCCATGACAAAGAAACCGCATTGGTTACTATCCGACTGACGAGGAGCCTACAAATGTTAAATAAGATTTGCATGTGCATTACAATTTAACATATACAAACACTTATATCTAATTAGTTACAAATATTAAATTACCTTGACAATTTCCCAAGCAGTTTTACTTCGTCCTTTCTTTCAATTCCCAGAGGCCGCATGAACCATTTTAATAGCCCTTCAAATATATTGTTGATTATTCAGATTATGTAATAATCATACTGATATAAATCGAAAGAAATAACAAAAAAAACTTACATTTCTACAACATGTTTCCAATCATCATCGCGAATGCGATGACTAAGAGGGTCCCACAAATAAACAATATCCTTACTGACGTTGATAACTGTCAGAATCCAATGGAAACTATACAGAAACACAAAATTATATTACATCAATAGAAAATAATATGCAATGGAAAGTATAATTGTAATCATTCTTACCCTACATTACATGGCACCAAAAGTGATGCACTACTTGGATTGTCAATTAGTCTGTCTGCTAAAGCTCGTGCCCTACTTTCCAACTGTTTGTCTAGGAAAGTTTTATCTGTTCTTGTCGTTGGCACATGACCTACATGACATGGCTGCATAAATCTGAATTTTTCAAGCTTGTTGTCTTCCATCATCTTTTTATACAAATACCTAACATTGGAATGGAAACTGAATTAGAATAACAAAGCATAGAAGTGATAAGTATATATATAATTGACTCGAAATATATATTAAATCATACCATATGTACACAGCAATACATGTGTACGATATTGACATCAATTGACAAAACGGAGTCACATCTTCGTCGTGCACATATAGAGTACATTCTTCCCCGAAGACATTTTCATCTAGCACTATATTTAAACTCTCTCCATTCCCAAGTGCACGCTTGTAATAACAGTATAGTAGCCATAATGACTTAGGCATACTTGAGGAGTTCAACTCAAGCTTTTTGACTTCCTTGCTCGGTTTCTTCTTACATTGTTTCTAATTTGCAAAATATACACATATTAGGTAAATAAATAAATATACTAACAAAGGCATGTGAATTATATACATGCACAAATTAACATCTCCTACAGTTTATATGAAAAATGCAAAACATTTGAAAATTGAGAGGATGAAGCAAATCTGCAAAACATTTGACAGAGGCACCAATACGTAGATAGTAATTTTTGCCTAAGAAACTAAGTAAAATGTAAACTTCAGTAAAGAGGGAATATTTACCTCCAAGACATCTTCTTGTCAATAAACTACAGCTCATCATCATCATCTTCGAAATCCAATTTTTGTTTCATAAAACCAATTTCTTCTTCACTCAGCTTCATCGCACCCTTTGCAGTACAACTCCCTTTTTCTTCAATCGGAGATGATTTAAAGGCAACATTTTGAAGGACCAAATTTTCTAACTTTGCAACTCTGTCTTCTACTGTTGCTTGTCATCTTAGAAGGACATTTTTCTCATGGTTAGGAAGCATCCCTTTACCCAATCTGAAATATGTTGAGGGATTGACATGTCCACCTATAGCCCTCACCCGACCTCCATGCTCCTTAGATTCAAGAGCCTGTGTCAGGATGTCCTCATTTGGTCCTTGAAGTTGCAACAAACCATCTTGCTTTTGCTGAATATATTCATCCTGTAATTCATGACAAATGACCATGATAACCACAATCTTTCGAAATACATAAAGAAGATAATACCAGTAAATTAAAGGTTTTGCTTACAATCTTTGTAAATTTTGTCTTCAAAACATCTCCTTCTATTTCTCCTTGCTTACTAGTTCTCCCTTTCTTCCAAAGTATAGCTCTATTCACTTCGTCATCATCACACAATTCTGTTGACTACAGCCAAGAAGATTTATCAATGTCAAACTAAGGGTGAAAATGAGTTTAAGTTATTAGTGAAAGTGAATAGAGATAAATACTTACAATTTCACTAGCAAGATGCGCATATCCTTTACGAGCAAGCCTATGTGGATAAAGGTTTTGCTTTCTTCGTACCTTTTGCTGCTCGCTTAGTTTCTAAGACAAACATGATCAAAACTTGACATTATATTTCTAAGACAAAGATGATGCTTCATGCTTGAAAAGTGAAATAAAAACAGAAATGAGGAAAAGGGGAACACTTCATCTTTTTTGATTTCTTAACTGAACTCATTAATTTGTAATATTACAATAAATCTTAATTGTTATACGGTTTGGAACAACCTGAATACATAAATGCTAAACTAAGAAGAATCCTACCAAAGGGCTTTATCATATTTTGACTAGAGGCATTGATTCTTGATCTTTTTGAATTTTAATACGTATTTTGAAACAATAAGTTGTTACAAAAAAGCTAATTAATCAAACACTTATATTAGTTGTTTAACCAAATCAAATAAGTCAAAATTAATTAATAAGCTACCTATTTTACCAAACATGATCAACTCTGAATTGAATTAAATTCTTTAATTTACCTAATCAAAAGAGACTTTCAAGTGAATGTTTACGGGAATTATGTACACTCTATAAAAGGGCATATTTGTTACTTAAAATTGCGGGCACTACTGATCGGTTTTATTAATTTTGATAAAGTAAAATATACAAATATACTCTATGTCATTCAACTGCAATGTGTAGTCAAAGGCTCAAATACTCACATAACTACAAATTTACTTTCAACCACATGTGAATCCTTTCACAACAGATTAGGCAGAATAAATGATAACACTTGAATTCATTAAAAAGTATCAATCATAACCTTAATGTGGCAGTTACCTCAGAACAAATTAAGCAATATAATTCTGCAAAAAAACTAAGATTTCCTAGTGCCAATATCACATAGAATAGTTTGATTACCTCAACCTCATAATAAACATGCCATGACAAACTCTAACCATTAAAAAA